CTTTTTTTTCCATCTATTTAATAAGATAGTTTTCATGTCTTTTGTTATTTTATTGAAAAGGATTTTTTTGTATTATTTCATGGCAAATCGCGCCAAGAATGGCCATATAATATCACATTTTAAAAATTTTTGATTGCAAAGTAAATTTTTTTCGTAAGTTTTATGCATTTTTTATGTTTTTTTTGTTATATCTATAATTTTTTTCACTGTGCATTAGTTTTGTATGCACATTTAACTTTATTATTGTGTAAACAACTCTTTCTGTTGTATTATTTTACCATATATTTTGAAGATTATCGTGGAAAAAGTTAGATGGTCTACGATGAATCATTTTAATGTAGTGACTAATGAAACCATGGTCCATTGTAGACCACACAATCTTTTTTATGATATACCTTCGAAATAATAATTCATTGTAGCAATTATTTGAAATACGATCCCTCCTCTCACCTAAAATCTTAATAAAAATATATTTATTCGACGCGTTTTCATTCAAAACGAAAGGATCTGGCAAAAAAACGCAACGATCGGCCCCGTGAATCCTCATCATTTAATAATTATCTATTTTCTAAATTTTAAAATATAGCAACAATATAAAATAATCTCGACAATTTGCAGTATAAAATATGTATTAATTATTAAAAATAGCATGATTCATTGTGTACACAACCCTGTACAAAATGAATCACTTATCGTTTTTTGAAATAATCGAAATTGTGGTTAAAAAATAACTTAAGAATTATTCAATATGTAGCCAATTAAATTCATAAACTGTATGCCAAAACTCAGATCTTCAACTCAATTATTGAAAGAGATATAAGTTTCTGAAATTTACATGGTTCATTGTTGGATCACTTACCTTACACTTAATCAATAGCTTATACTCCGATTGTATTATACGTATTTTTATTTTTTTCTCTATATATCCTATAAGCGGAGATATTACTATGCAAAATTCAGATCTGTAACTTTTCAGATTCAAATACGTCGACATTGATCACATTCTGCGCATTTCTTTTGGTGTCCTTTCGACATTTTCTACGCAAGAAACGCTAGTGATATACATGATTAGCGAGCGCTGCAATCTGTACTACGATAGAGATCCTCAAATCTTGTTATAAGGCAAGTAGGCAAAATCCTACAAGAGAGAATGATATACATTCTCTTTCTTTTTTAAACCTAGCTTAATCTCTCTGGACGCGTTTACGCACAGTTGTCGATTATTCGGTTGTAATAGCCGTTCACTGAAAAATGGATGGGTGTGCAGTACCATTTTGCAACAACTCCGCAGTAAAAGATTACAGAATAAAAGCTTTTCCAAAAAATCCTGTACATCAGGCTTTGTGGATACAAAAGTGTTTGTTATTATAAATGTTTGTAAGTAAGAATTGAGCACCAACAAACAACTCTCGTCTTTGTGAGTTAGAAATCATGTATTAATTTACCATGATGAAATAATAATAATTTAATTATAATATTAATTAAAGCTAACCTAATAATAGACTTTCTAAAATTTCTATGCTTGTCTTACAATTATAATTGAATTGTGTATATAATGAAACTATTGTTATAATGTGGGTTTACTTTGCCCCAGAAATGCTGATATAAGCAAACATAAATTAAAACGAAATGCATTACCAACAATTTTTTTTTAAAAGCAAATACCTACGGCCATAGAAAATGATGGCAATACTGAATATAATGTTCTCAAAATAATCAGTAGTATGCAAAGCAGTAAATGTATAAATGAAGAAGCAACTATAGCAATAACATTGAAAATGAAAAAATTATTATTGAAATAGTAAGTATTAAAAGTGAAAAAAAGTTATAATATAATTTATGGTGTGTAATCTTTCCAGGTTATCGTAAATAATATTTCGGAGCCCGTGGCTTTGTCAACAAATATGTCATCAATATATCCATATCTGACTTTCATAAAAACGAAAAAAAAACAGAATATGAGAAATATAAACAGTTACTAAAGAAACAGCATTTATATTTAATCATAATGAGGAGAAAAATGAAAACTCTGCAATACAGAAATAGGATTCTAAAAAACAAAATTGTATATTGATAAGTATTGATAAGTACAAAAAAATTTTAAGTCACATATTTAATGAAGATCAAATAAGAGCGTTATTCAAGAAAGTTCGTATTCGAAATTGATCGAACGCGACAATTCAACGTGCAGTAAAATTAAAATTTGCTTGTGGAACTAGTGGTTATGAGGAATTACTTTGTCAAGGGATACCACTTCCTAATTTAAGAACATTATTATGAAAGTTGGAAAACTTCAACTTCGATGATCCACGAACGCTGAATGTTAGTGAACGTATAATTGTTAGTGAATGTATAATTAACATATAGATATGTAGGAAGACCACGAGTCGACATCGCGCATCGAAGCAACCAACACAAATAATATCATACGTGCGAGCATTCTGCACACGCAGCCGATTTTCGCACAAACACATATCGTTTAGAAATGAATTTTGTTAAAAGATCAATTTAAGTGATTTAAATTTTCTATTTGTACGACATTTTATTTTTATTCATTTTTTACAAAATAGGTTTCGATATGTATTTATTTAATGTTGTTTCAATATTGCAGCATCAATCAATGTGGAAAAATCAATGAAAATTCAACTTGTGATTCGATTTATTCAATATTGTTTCAATATTGCAACAACATGGTTATTAGAATTTTTGTATATAAATAATAACTTCGATAGATTAAATTATACAACATGTAACATAAACTTTGAAACACGTTTTTTACAGCATAAATATATCTTTCGACAAACAATCTTTGTGAATCCATCTACTGCAACAATTAGGTACGTATTATCTAATTACATTTTGAACCATTTTTAGAAGTAAAAATATGTAACGTGTAATGAAACGTATAAATAAATATTTGTTTTATTTTATTTATATTTACATAGTGCTATAAAGTAGTCTAAGTTTCTAGTAATAAAAAAAATTCAATCATTAAAATGGATTAAAAAACTGTATTCTCTATTATTCTCTAGAATTTTGAATTGAAGTAAATTAATATAATACAATAATAATTAAATAAATAAACATTTAAATTGATTTATTTATTAATTATTTATCAATACGAATATCCTGTCACACGGAATTATGCGGTAGAATGTTTGTTTATAGCGCCCTAATTTATATATAATATTAGAGACTACTGGCATTTTACCCTAACAAAAGTAATGGCATATTGCCCCAAGACACCATTTCATCTTATGATGAGCCTGTACAATAATACGGCTATTAAGAAAATGAATCAACGATATATTGAATATTTTCATTTTAACCTATATTAATAGGTTAACAAGGTAATCGAGCTAAATAATGTTTGAACAATAATTTACATAAAGCATTATGAAAATTATAAGAAGCGCATTTTCATGTACAATGCCATCATATTTACCTCATAAAAACAATATTGTCGTCAGGAAATTTTTGATACTTATGCAATACGTTAAACGCACAATTGTAAATAATTTTTTTGGCACTGATGCAAGCGCTGCTAGTCAGTATCATTATTAAACATAATGAGTGGCATATTCTCCCAACTGGTGTATTATCCACAGTTACTATACCAAAATCATGAATTCGACTGGGATAACATGCACATCTTAGATGAACCATCTTACATAAAAAGAACGATATCTGAACTGATACATATTAAAGAACAAACAATTGATTTAAACCAGTGTTCGGAATTAGTTGCACATTTCAAGCCTACTTTTCTCCAGGAAAAAGTAAGTAGCGCTTCAGAAATCGACCCGAAATGTGCAATTAATTCCGAGCACTGGTCTAAAAACAAAGAGTGCTTTCCAATTGCTTAACACAAACGTACACAGGAATGTACAAAGTGTATCATTGTGCACGATTCAATTGGAACAGAATGTGTACGCTGTGTATGGTTGAGATCCGTCGGGTAGAGTTAGATTAAATGTAGCTTTTTCCGTCTGTATTAAATAAAAAAAAATAAAAGTGCCGGCTACTCAACGTCTTCCAATCTCATTTACAGCCGCCAGTTAGTAATATGTAATTGTCACTAGAAAACACAAGCTTACACAGCCCTCGATAGATGTATAACGTTGTATCGATGATAATGGACAATTGGAACGCAATTTGTGTCACCATGTGCACGAAAGTGTCTAGGCATATTGCAATTGGAAAGTATCCAAACAAAGCCCACACCAAACATTTATCCGACGCTTACCTCCTTATCTTGGATCGTTTGTCTCCCATTATTTCACATTGTACTAATCGAACAATAAGACAATTAGATATGTACATCTTGACTATTATTCTGTACTGTACAACCAAGAAAGATTACATTAGTTTAATATTCACACTGAATCGTTGGCAAAGAAATCACAGGTAATCAGATCACATACTATGTAATACAATCACTTCACACCAGTAATTCAAATCACATAATATTTAAAAAAATTATATTAAACTTATAATAATCACAACATATACGATTACAATATAGTTGCACAATATCATCTTGATTCGCATTGTACTTGGTCCAGAAACAACATCCTCTCTCAATTTGAATTTGAACCAAAAAATACTAAGATTTGAGACATAATTGACGCGCAATCAGGTACACAAACTAAAATACAAAGATGTAATGGTACCGGACATAATCAACGACAATATTTAATGTAAGTAGTAGCTAGGATGCCGTTTTTATATATAATTTTTATTCACTGAGAAGGACCACATTAAGGGTTGAAACGTTTTTGAAACATTGTATTACACTAAAGTAACATTTAAGAATAATATATAAGACATGATACATTACTAGCCGGGATCGAAAAGCTCTAATTTGACTTTTGAATTTCATTCTGGATATATTGTATTTCATACAATATATTGTAATATTCTTATAGTATTAAATTTAAAACTTATTTCAAATAAAAGTTACAATAAGAATCTCTTTGCAAAAGATGTAGAAGTCAAACCTTCATCCTGCTGTATTGCAGACTCAGTTCATCATTTCTTCGGACCAATTGTGAACCGAGTATGTCGCGCTCATTCATAACGTTATCAATATCTTTTTTCTGACGTTTAATATCTAAATCTGCTTGTTGTATATTCTGTCTGAGGTTCTTTTCTTCCTTCTTTGCTTCTTCGATTTGTTGTCGTAAATTGCTTATTTCCGTATGGGAAGTTTGCAAATCAATCTTAAGATCTTCTTTCTCTTTCTCAACTTTCCTTAACACTGCAAAATAAATGATTTTCTAGACTTATAATTTTTGATTTACTATAATTATAATATTACTATAATTTTTTGAGGGTAAATGTTCACTCAAGGGAGATCTCTCCTGATCCGACTTTGTATATTGTCAAGCTTAACTCTGAGTAACCTCCAATAAATTTTAGCCGTCGCTTGTTATCCGTTAAATAATTATTAACAAAACATATCTAAAAAAATAACGTCTATTTCTACTATGTGTATATAATATATTATTAAAAATTCTATATTCTTCCTTATATTTACCTAACGGTAACCCACGCGAAATAAATTCCATCCTATCTTCCTCCTTGCCACGGAACACAAGGAAGCTTTCACGCCACGACTTTCCACGTGAACCGAATTTCACCCCATATTTCTCTGTTTTATATGGGATGAAAGTAGTTTCCCGTGGAAATCGTACGCCCTGAAGTAGGAAGAGGTAGAATGAAAATCGTGTCTCTATGTATTACTATATAAAAAAAACAAAAATTATGTAGGAAAATAACGTTTTCAAAGAAATTTTTATTTTTAAAGCAGCAAATATATATTAAAACAGAAAATTTTTGTTCTACATAGTAAGAAGAGATATCATTAGTAGTATAACTAGGGAGATTCGAAGCCTTGTCCTCTGAGGGGCGCGGTGGGTACTCGTTGGCTCGGAAGGGAAGGTGTGAGGGGGAGGTACTCGTAGGCGCGGGGGAAGAAAAAAGAAAAGCTCGGGGAAGGTCTCGATGGTATCGATGTTTACATAAACACCGACATCAATGATACATGTCGCCATATTGTGATGTCATTGGGACCCTGCAGCCGCCGCGGACTTCGCATCCATTCCAAAATGCGTCGCGAACTGCCGTTGCAGCCATGTGCACTATCTCATATATTTATCATCTTTCTTTCGATGCGTTGCTGTTTTCTCCTATCTCCCTTTTTTTCTTTTCGCACCAAAAACCATTTGTGAAAACCACGACATGTTTGGATGATGACATCATCAATGTAATTTTGATACAATTGCGAAGTTGCCAAATAGTACGCATAATACAAAAATTAAAGATTGAGATGCATTGCGATGTTGTCAAGCAGTGGGCATAATGATATAAAAAAAAAAGATCAATTTTAACCTCCGAATTGCGCACGTTTATTTTCATACTTATTATTCATTCTTTTTTCTTACAACGGATAGTATATATAGCATAGGATAGGTCGGGAAATAAAGAAAGTACATATAGTGATATGAACGAAAAATTTTTTATTCACATTTTATTATATTATTTTTTTCATGTATATTAAACACTAAAGTTAATAATTCGCAATTGATTAATTGATGTCCATTGAAGATGTCGCTATAGCGCCTTCGGACGCGATGTTGGAGAATTTCATATACTTGACATTGACCGTATCGACGAGATGGGCTAATCGTTCGAACGTTACGTCGATACATCCGTCAAACTCAAACATACGGCGTAGTGTTGTTTCGGTCATCGTCATACAGACGAAGAATCGAGACGTACGAGCATAGCATCGTTCAGCGTGCAAATTCTGATGATTAGCGGTCCAACGTTTATAAAATTGTTTTTGTATTCGTTTCGAAGCATCTTGTAAATCCATCGTTGCTCGTAGAAGCGCTTCCACATTTCGAGAAATAGTGACAGTTCGTGTCCGCGATGATCTCCCAGAGTCTCCATGTAACTCGATGAACCAACGTTGATTCCAATTTCCAAATACTTGTAGCCCGTAGCCGTCAAGTTGTAACGTCTGCTCAGTAAACGCATAGCGCGATGCACTCATTTCAATATCTATTCGTTTATAATCGTTTCAATACCTATTTAATTAATCATAAAATTCCTTTACAAAATCAAGCTCCAGGATTTATCTATAGGCGATCGTTGTATAGAAAACAATTTAGATCATAAGTATCACCACGAAAAGCGATATAGTTATCACTCATACCGTTGCAGCACTCTTTATAATGCAGCCAATGATCATTTGTAGGCCGTCGAATTGCTGAAAGTTCGCGCTGCACGTATATTTTCACATCTGTTATTCCTTTTTTTTCTTAAGCGGACAGATACATACATACGCACATACATGCGTATGTACATACATTTATATATACGTTCATACATACATTTATAACAATAATATAAAACGCTCGATTATTTGACAAAGCAAGACAACAAAATAACAACCAAAAATCAGCATAAAAGTTAGTTGATAGATAACAATAAAAATATATACAGGGTGGGCCATCTATTGGTACGTTTTTGAATTTCGTCGTATGGCAACACCGAACGAGCTACAGACCCGAAATTTTGACAGTTTATTAGTCATACCGTCCGCGGCACGAAACAACATGTTTTCTCTTGAAGAGCGTTTTGAAATTTTAAAAACTTATTTTCAAAGTCAGTGCTGTGTCGCCGAAACTGTACGAATTTTGAAAAGAAATATGGGTCGTGATAGAGCACCCACCGAAGGAGCTATACGCAAATTGGTGAGGAAAGTTCGTGAGAAAGGGATGTTAGTGGATGACATTATATTACGACTGTTTTGAGTGAAATTGGCGCCGAGGTAGTCCAAAATGTCATTAATAATTGGGGTGACCGAATGGCATACTGTAAGGCCAGTAGAGGGAGCCACATGAACGAAATCGTTTTTCATTCTTGACGCGGATACTTTTAGCTTCACAACAAAAAAAAAATTAATAAAAAATATCAATGTATGCTCATTTGATCGCATTTTTAAAAACGTACCAATAGATGGCCCACCCTGTATTATATTTGAGATACAATATCACTCAATTCTTATTCTACATTAAAATGTTTCGATTCACTGTCTTCTTCAGTTAACAATACAATTAACCTAATAATCTAATCGCAAATTTAAAAACGGAACTATTGTCGTAATTATATTACAAGCAACTAAAGTGTATCCCACCATGATCATAAGAGTATCATCGATGATGCTGTCAGCATGTATAATATTAGGTGTAGTAAAAAGAAATCCATTATTTTTCCAATAGATGGCTTTAGTAATCTATCGTCTACGCGTGATACAGATTACTAAAGCCATCTATTGATTGAAATAATCAGAAAAGGAAGGAAAGAAGGAAGGAAGGAAAGAAGAAAGGAAGGAAAGAATAAATTAATAATGCCGTACACCCAGATATACAGTTTAAATATATGTTTATTTTTATTTAATTTATCATAGTTTTACATATATTGTAATAATTGTATATAGTTCTTATAATATGTATAAGCAGGAACTTTAATTTAATTTAGCTTATTTCAAATCGAATTTTTAACATTTGCCTTCGATTAACAATAAAATGTACATTTATTTTTCACACTGTTTACAATATTATCTAAAGCATAAATTATTAACTCACATTTTATATTTGAATTTTTATTATAAATTTTGCACAAAAAGTCTATGACATCACTTATCAATGATACAATTTTTAAAAAAGTGTTACAAAATATTTAAATTTTTGACAATGTACGTATACTGGCACAACAGAGTATACGTTCTCGGCGTAATGTTCGAGTTCGAATGTTCATGTTCGAACATGAAGAGCATAGTTGATGGCTTCATGTAAACATGTATCGCGCAGTGTCAATTTGACCAAATTCACATGTATTTTTACGATATTTATCACAATATCTTGGATCAATATTGGTGATGAAGATGCGATTGACTGCAATCGTTCAATATCCACATGTCTTTCAATGAAAGCTTGCCATATTGCATGAGACAAGATTATGTTGTTACCTCGGTTGTCCTCAATTGCAATTTTCACAAAGTACATAGGTCTCATAGCGATTCCAACATCCAAGTATTTGTAAGCTATAGGTCAGTGTAAATCTTCTTCTCAATATACGAGGTGTATGACGGGGTTTATGACAAGAAGGTACTGTACAGAAAAAAAAGTAATACATATTAGAGAAAAAGGACAGATAAACAATTGTAGAGAAAAAGTATAAAAAATTATAAAATAGGAACTTACTGTATATAAGATTCTTCATTTTGAATAGAAACATAAAACTTCATTGTACATGTTTGGAAAGCGTTGCAGTAGCGGTCTGTATGAACAACTAATGCAGTAACATTGTCCGAGCTTTTTTTAAGTTTCATCCCCCTCCACCACATTTTTTTCAGGAATGCATGGAATTTGTTCAATCAACACAAAAGAGAGACAAAAAAAATGCAAGCGCCGATGTACGGCTGTTTTATTAATGTAATGAAAGATTTTTTTCCAAGAACATTTGACATGTTAATACAATGACATAACATAACATGTTTCACAATGACATCATGAATATAATTTTGATGCACGACGTTGCCAAGTTACGTATAATTAAATAAAATTCAAAAATTGAAATGCATTGTGCCACATAGTGAATAATAATTGACACTCAGATTCATTCAGTTCTTTTTATAGTTACCTTTTCTTAAGAAACTCTCCTTTCTTATTATTACATCTATCCGTGTTCTATATTCACATCGTTTATTATATTATAACCATCTTCTTAATTTTATATGTACAACTCTGTGTGTGATTTGAATAAAAGATTTTATAATTACATCAGATTATGGGTCTAGCACGCTTCCACTGTGCCAATAAGATAAGACGTGTGTAAAACTATTGTGATATTTGCGATCGAGTTATTTAGAATAGTCGGGATCGAATTGGTTAGAATAACCGTGCCAAGGTTAAGAGGTAAAACGAAGGGCAAATACTGGTATCGGATATAGCTACTCTGTCGGAAATCGCAATTGAGAAGTTGGTAGGTGACGATAACTACTTCTTCTGGAAAGCTATGATTGAAGCTATTATCTACGAGAAAGATTGGTCAGATGTCATCTTAATGACTAGTGCAAAATCTATGCAGAAATCAAAATGGATTAAGATGAATCAGCATGTTCGGAGCTTTATTTTTCGTGACCAAGAATGTCCTAAAACATATTAGCGGACTTGACACTACATTTGA